GGGGCTTTCTTAACCATTGCTCGCCTTTGCTATCATGAAAGCTGCCCAATCGTGGATCAGACCTAGGACGGACGTGCGACACAAATTGTGGTTTGCTCGACCTTGCTTTGCCTTGCTTACTTGTATTTTGACTTCGATTCGACAATGGCGCAGGTCTCGTTAGGAAACGACGCATGCTCGAGAGAGCGCGGCCTGTCTACCTGAACTTGCACTTGCATTCCAATTATAGGGTTACTTGCAATTTGATACAGTTTGGAGTTCTGCGATTGTGTGTGCTATAATCTCGTCCCATGTGAGGCTATTCAGACCCCATCTACACGGAGTTCTAAAAAGGGAGAAGTTGTGGCAGCCCAATGGCTGATACTTGGCGCGTTACGCAGAGTTGGCGGTCAATCACTCTCGATGAATCGCCGCACGCCGCCTAACGTTGTCCGCACAGCACCAGCAAACATTCTTCTAGCTGCTTGTATACATTCAGAGCTTCAGTATTCATGTGTTTCCGTGACTTTTGACGTGTTTGAGGTCCATCCTTGAGCGCTAGTGATTTTCTTTGTGTTCTACTTGGCCGTTGTCTAGAAATGAGCCAACGCGACCCCACCACAACGCGCATCCCACGATTGCACACGTTGATGAGAATGAAGTCTCTTTCGCCCCGGTTCGAACATATATTATGCCGATTTGGCTTCCAATTTCAAGGCTTGGTCGATTCTTTGCATCGCAACCGCGGTTATACATAGCGTGATGTGCCATTTGTAAGTCATTCGAAAAGCCACATCAGTGACAGCATTCCTGAGCCATGAATGAGAGCATAGCTGCGTTGTGAATACAGACTGCCTGCTCTCTCTAGGGGGAAGCCGTGAAGACTTTCCGATTTGTTGACAGAATGCCAGCACCACTGGGTATGAAGTGTAGTGGTGTATGAGCTTTCCAAGGCTCGGCGAGGCTGGAGAGTACCTAGCGCGCCGTTTTTGAGGCTCAAGGTGTTTCAGCCTCAGGACTGCACTGCGATTCTTAGCGCCAAAGAGAAGTTTGTCAACCTTGCTTACTATTGCTTCGCCGCAGACTTCAGAGAACGCTTGGACAGTGATCTTTTGTGTTCTTATGATGGAGCGAGTATGATAACGCTGCAATTGAGCTCGAGTCATCTATTCCGTATCCTCCCTCGGGCCTCGTTATGTCGTACCCATATATACACACCTCATCGTCCTTATACCATGCTGCCTATGTAAACGCCACTAATGCATCTCGAACCCGTTCCCATATAGCACAAGCCCACCACCACTCCTGAGCCTCCTCACTCCTCCTCCTCCTCATCCTCCCCTTCTGCCCTCTCAACAATCAAATTCCCACTCCGTCCTATCCTCTCCTTAATCGTGCCTCCGGCCTTAACATCATACACCTCCCTTGGCATCAGACTCACCAGCCTAAACGCATACTCGTGCTCAAAGCCCTTTGGCTCGCTCGCACCTTCACTGTCGTTCAGGACATCGTAGCACTCCACGAAGGCGTAGAGTTCCTCGATGTCCGCATCTGCATGGAACTTGCGCACGACGCGCTCTTCGCTGGGCAATTTGACCGCGATGCGGACAATATCTTTTGCATCGGGCGAGGGTTCGGCGGGGATGCTGGAGGCGCGCCATTTGCGCCACTGGAGGAGGTTTTGCGCGTGGCGTTCGGCGGTTTGTTCGCGTTCGAGGGCTTCTTTTTCTTCTCGTTCTTTTCGTTCTTGGTCTTCTTTCTTCTTGCGTGCGCGCTCGCGGTCGGTGGCTAGGCTGCGCTCGTATGCGCTGTCTTGTTGTTGGCGGATGTTTCTTGTTGCTTGCTGTTCTTGTCGCTGTGCGCGGACGCGATTCAGTGGCTCGGTGTGTTGCGCCATTGCTGCTTTCAGCTTTGCTACGAATTGTGCTGGTGGAGTGGGACCGACGATTCGGGTCGCGATGCCCATTGCGGTGGAGGAGACTTGTGGTGTGTGTACGATGAGCCCGGCGAAGGGGAATTTAGTGCAGTTCAGAGCATTCGAGACTTGGTATGCCTCGCTGTCTTGGACGTTACCTGCCCACAGAATGATGTTGTTCTCAGGATTGCGAATGAAGTCGACCAGCTCTTGCGAGAGGAGTGTGTCGCGGATGAAGGATGTGGTTTCGTCGTGTTCGGGCGAAATGAGGATAACGAGGAGGAATTGGAGGTTCTTCTTCGCAAGGTCGAATGCTTGCGCGTATCCGCTCTCGAAGAAGGGGAGTTGGTGTGGCCCGTATTCCTCCTCAAACTCCCGTATGAAGCGCGCAGCCGTATCGCGCGGATTCAGTGGTCTCCGGCCTGTTGCTGCGCCCCGCCGCGCTGCTGGGCTGTTGATGTTGCTCGCTGTGAGACGACCCCATGTGTGTGGTATGAAGGGAAACATCCATCCCATGAATCGGAAGTACTTCGACAGTAGCGAGTATACGAGCGAGAACGGCGCGAATATTATGGCGAGGACGAGCGGCGCTTGTGTGCTCACTTGACTCTCTGGCTGTGGTACTACGCGCGGCGCAGGTTCTATCCGTGCTCTTCTACTTGACGTCGAGGACCGCGGGGACGATGTGAAGCCGTTCATGAGCGTCTCCTGCCGCCGAATGTCTTGTGGTGCTGCTTGTGCGGCCGCCGCAGCGACGGGATCCTCTGCTGGTTCGCCATCAAAGAAGCGGGCGATTGCTATTTGCACGTTCCATTCGCAGCGACGGAGGAGGGGCACGGCAGCAGCGAGATCTTGATCAGTAACAGCTGTGAATTGCTGGAGCGCAAGCTGTTGGTCGGAGGTGAGCGCGGCAACATCGATGCCAGACTCCGCCATCTTGAAGGTTGGAGATGGATGTCACAGTGCGCAGAACTGGGACTTCCGGGGAGTAGGGGCGCGGAAGGGACTGTGGGGAAGGATATGGCGGGGAAACGTGGTTTTTATGGTTGTTGGTGTGGGTTGCTTGGCCTTTTGCGGCGATGATGCACATGTGGTTCTCGGAGCTCTAAACCATGAATTGGCAAGGTGAGGCTAATCCTCGGCTCCCCCACGCGACATTAGCGCGTGAGGGTAATACCGTTGGTGGGGTCTATCGCAACGCTCTTCATTCAGCTACACTGCGTCGTCGCGCAGCTGAGCTTGACCTGGCACTCTAATCGCACACTGTGATATGTCGTGAGTCTTTGCGTCTCAATCTTGACCTCTGACTCGGACTGCCTCGCCGAGATCTAGCAGTCGTTTCATCATGTGATACGAACTGATTAAAAGACCCTCTCCATCCTCTTGGAGACGGTGATTCGAATTGCATCAAACTTTGCTTCCGCTTACAACTTCTGTGGCTTTGCCCATTCTCGGAACCGACTCATCCTCACTGCGGGATGTCTTTCACTGGCGGAAGAGGAAGACGCTTTCGTCTCTCTATGTTCAGGTGGCGCTCCATGATCCTCGATCAGAGATTCGACTCCTAAAGATTTGCCCTGGCGCCGGAGACATCATCAAGTGTCGCCTACGCGCTGTTCCCCTGGCAAAGACTGGCAATTACGAAGGCTTGTCATACCATTGGTCGGGAGATGTGATGGAAAACCATGTCTATGTCAATGGTATCCAAGTGCCTGTGCGTGGAAACCTTTATAACGCGCTAAGCTTTCTGAGATACGCTGGGCTCAGCTTTTGCGAACGCCCGCAGGATGAGATCTATGCACTGCGTGGTCTCGCAAGCGACGTTAAGTCAGGCATGCATGACAACAACTTCAACTACGAGAAGAGCGCTGATGTGGTATACACTGAGTTTGCTCAGGATGCGATAAAAGTCGGCCGCAACCTTGACATCTTATCAGCACTAGCTGCTTTTCATAAAGACCGCTCTCCAGGTCTTCCATCCTGGGTCTCGGACTGGCGTGTCTTTGGTAGTTACACCTTTCTATATCGTCGCCCGGAGCCTCCTCCAGAGCCAGGACCCTGTACTATACTCTTTACGGCCTCAGTAAGGACAACTACCGACCCTACGTTCAGCGAAGACGGGCGTCGAGTGCTATTGCATGGCCACGTCTTGGACACCATTATTGATGTTGGCGAAATTCGTCCCGGAAGACGCACTCCTCGTGAAGCAGTAGCACATTTCATCGGTTGGCGGAACAAGATCGCGCGCTGCTTGCACGAGAAGACATATAGGCCGACTGGCGAGCTCATGATTGATGTCTTCTACCACAACATCACAATGGCGAACTTCTTCAGTTTTCTCAATGAAGCATTAGCAGAATACAAAGTGTTTGATCGAAGTCTGCTCATGCTCACGGACAGGTTGGAGGATCGCCACGACCATTACTACCCAGGCGGCGATATCCCGCAGGTGGAAGTAGCTGGAGTGTGGGAGACGGTTCCATCCTGGTCGAGTATCGAGAAGTCAGTAGTCACGTCGGCATCGCGTCCTAGCGTGAACAGGAGGGTGGTCTGAACCGAATGCGGCTACTTGGGTTTAGTTTATGGGCAGACCCAGGTCGGCGACAAGATTGCCCTTTTCCAAGGAGGATTGCTGCCACTTGTCATTCGAGAGCAAGGCGACGAGTGGCGTGTGGTTGGAGATGGATATGTACATGGTGTAATGACGGGTGAGAAGTTTGCAACCGAGAGATGCAAACCCTTTTGGTTTTCCTGAAGCGGAGCCCCATAAACTTATCAATAATCTCGTAACAATTTTTTCTTGATATATTCACTGCTGTGCTTCGGTCTGCACCCAATACCCTGGATTGATCCGGAACCATGCCCCAAGGTTAGCACGCAGCGAATGTTGGAATTATGGATTGCGCCCATTTCGCTCTGACGTCTGCGTGCCCCTCATCGCTCATCCTTGCATCGTTCCCGCACCAGCCCCACTAGTCCACAATAGCACCCATTCAGCGTCCTTCAACCTGTGCTGTTACTGCAGCCTCTATTGACTATCGTCCGGAATATAATCGCTACAAAGTAACAATTGCAGCATCAGCACAACTCATCGAGTTCAGACCGAGCCGGTTTGGCGCAGTGGTAACGTAAGTCCACTCTGAACACATCGATTGTCAATCTTCAGATCCTAACAAGATTTGCCAGGCGTCGCACTTGTACACGCCTATAAATGCGAAGATCGCTAGTTCGATTCTGGCAATCGGCAAACAGTCAATTGTTTCTTTTTGCTCTTTCGCTTCGTCTTGGTGCGACAGGCTTTGGACCAGATTTGATGGTGTGGAGAGAGGTTTTGAAGTTCGTGAGGCATGCCGGTGAAGCATGGTTTTTGTGATTTGCGTAGGCTTCGTTTTCTTTTGCTGGTGGCCGCCGGAGCTTCTTTGAGCGCATCCTTTGTTTCCAACCCGCACAACAGCTACACAACTGAAGTTTAGATTGTGTTTGATGACGATTGTTTATCCATAACTTATTGGGTTTTCTCACGCTCACGCAAATCACAGTCTGACCGTCACCATCGAATATGGCTATACAGACACGGGTTCATCTTTCGTGCAGCGCAGGCTGGAACGATCGACTTGGAAACTAGCTCAGATATACGGTACTCTCATGATATAGCACTTGTTTCCATCCAGGCTATATGATATAACCACATTGGAATTGCCCCAGACTTTGGTCATGGCATTGCTTACAACCTTCACTGTGGAATCAGTGAGGCCTTCTATTCTTCGTAGCGGGTATCACGATAATAGAAGTTGAGGCGTCACGAAACTATCTGGCATCGTTGCACGTGACCCATCGTCGTCGTCATGGACATGATGATGCAGTCAGTTCTGTCAATTTTGTCATTTCATGCTCGCTTTTGCGCAGCATGTAGCTATGAGGGTATCCTTAGACGGCTGTTGAAAGGCCTTCTTGCCCTGTTCCTTGCCTTTCGACTCCGTACACCTTGAAATGCTTCGGCTGCCCTGGACTTGTTCATCCCGCCTGCATCACTCTTCGACTCTTTGGTCGATTCCGCTCTCGTAGATTGTTGAAAACACGAGCATCAGCGCTCACAGCACGATGCGCTTAGCTAGCAGTGTAGGTCTGCTTGGGCTGAGGGTATGATGGACCCAGCTCCTGGATGCTCAACTTCGCCAACCACTGGCCCATGTCGATAGCACTCCCGAGCGACTTGCCCTGCACGATACCAGCAACGAAACCACCTGCAAACGCATCACCTGCACCGTTGGTGTCGTTGATCTTGTCCTGGCTGATGGCGTGGACCGCGACCTCCTTGACAGCGACGTCTCCTCCCTCCTTCGCGCTGACAGCGACGGTTGGATCGGTGCCCTGTGTGATGACAACGGTCCTCACGCGCTTGGTGTTCTTCTTGGGTCCGTTGGCGATGCTCTTTGCGATCTCCTTGACGTCCTTGGACTCGATGTTGTGCGACTCGGCGAATGCGGCGGCTTCGGTCTCGTTGCCAATGAGGATGTCGACGTAGGGCAGAATCTCATCGAGAGGGTCCTTGAAGAATTGTGCGATGAATGGTGCGGACAGGTTGAGGATGAAGAGCTGCATGGAATCAGTGTCAGGGTACGTCGCAACCTGCTAGGAAACATCGGACTCACCTTGTTCTTCGCAGCAGCCTCCTCAGCCAAAGCCTTGATCGCTGGCACACAGACCGTCAAGTGGTAGCCACCAACGTAGAAGACCTGTGCGTTCTCGACCTGCTTCCAGACGTGCTCTTGCTTCAAGTGCTCGAGCTTGTAGTTGTTCGAGGCTGCGAGATCTGTGCACAGCGAGCGGTTGTGGCCGGTGATGACGACACCGCAGCGGCCAGTGGGGGTCTTCTCGTCGTACAGGTACTCGGTCTTAACGCCAGCCTCACTTGTGATCTTCTCGAGGGTCTCGCCATACTTGTCTTTGCCGATGCAGCCAATGTAGACAGTCGAATTGGGTGCGAGTATGTATTGCGCTCCTCGTGCGGTGTTTTGTGCAGCTCCACCCGCGATGAGGACGGCATTGTAGTTCTGGATCAGGTCGTCGTAGAGGCCCATGTGCTTCTCGGGGTCGGCGAGGATCGCATCGTTTGCCTTGAGGCCATACTTTTCGAGCAGCTTCTCGTCACTATGAAAATGTCAGTGCACCGAAGCTTGTTACGGTGCTCCTCCGGCAACAAAAGTACCGACTTCGTTGATGGCACTCACCCAACGCCCTGAATATCCAGTAGCGGGTTCTCCAAGCACAAGAGTTCGTATTTGCCAGCCATTGTGAAGTTTGAAGAGACGTTTTGGGGGTAAAATGGCGTCGAGTTGTTGATTCTGTATGAAAAGCGTGGGACAGAGAGTTTGGAGATCGAGGGGCAAGCTTCCCGCGGGCTTGGGCTGAAACTGCCGATAGCGTTGTGTGGCAGGGAAGGTGTAGCCGAGAGAGCGTCCGGAGTTTGAGAGGACGGAGGGACGCCATGCAGGAAGTATGTAAAGGTCAAAGAAGTGTAGGAGTCTGCTTTTCAGAAAGTGGCTTAGTATGACATTGTGTTATTTTGTAAAGCATGTAAAGACCGCTCGCCAGATCTCATGCCACTCTGACCTGACGAACAACCATGGTCAGCAGACGTGTCAATGATTGCAACTATCAATTGAATGTTCAAAGCGTTCTTCATTGCGATATGAATTTGTGTCTCAACAGAGCTCGTTTCTCTTCCTTCCCGTCTTGTCCTGCCTTGACGTCCATCAACCTTGATCTACACAACATCTTCTCTCCAGCACTTCAAAAACATTCAGAACCTGTCAATGTGCTCCGCCTCCAGCTTCAATACCAATGCTGAACTCTTATAACTGCAACACGGCGACCAATCAATCAATTGACACCCGTCATTATGATTGTGAGCCGTAGGGACTAGAGAGAGGGGAGTCCTATTTCCCTGACCCGCGCCCTGCTCGGATCAAATCTTGGAACGCTGACTCCAAGCCCCGCTTGACCTCGCGATAGCTCACGATCAACACATTCTGCTCATCTCTGCTGATGAGCGCCACCTTCTCGTCGAGTCCAGCGTCGAGCTTGTTTAGGCAATCCAGAACATGGCCCAAGTCGGTGACGGGGTGTCCATTCGCATCCACCTGATGGAATGCATAATCTCGGAACAGCTTGAGGTAATATCGTTCCCCAGTCTCCGCCCATACTGACGAGGGATTCGTCGTGTTGTTCCCGGGCATCTGCTGCGATGCGTCCAATTCTGGTCGCTCATTGACCATGTTGAGCTTGACCAAAAGGCGTACAAGTCGTGATGACTCGAGTTCACGACCGAGTGTATTGGTGAGTGTGTCTTGTGCGTGCAGTTCGCTGTCAAACACAGACGCAAACTGATCGGCAATGCCAGCAAGAAATGTATCAATGTCCTTCTGCATCGCCACCGGTGTTGTTGGTGAAGATGGTGTCCCGGTTGCTGGCTGTGGATTCAGCAACCATTGTATGCACTCCTTAAGGCGTGCAGTATAGCTGCGAGTAATGTAGTCCATAGACTTCTGCATCTGGAGATGCGCCGTTGCGCTATTGTTCGCGATGCACAAAATCAATCGTCCCAATTGGACGAAGTCATCTGCTTGCGCTTCCGGTACTGGCTTGGCGTTCTCGAACTGCACGATATCCATTACAGCGCAGGCGTTGAGGCGGATGCGATTCTTCGCCGTCAAGAGAATTTTAGATGGAGATATCAGCCTCGCAGCCAAGCCAGAACCGTGTATAGCCTTCAAGGCTGATGCAATCTGCACAATATAGCCCCAGAGAACCTGTTCCGGAACGTGCGACGACGCCGCCTGTCGGCCGTGGAAGCGCTGCATGGGTTTGAAGTGCTCGTCCGCAAGTGACTTCGAGTTCGGGTGGTAGTCCGTCACTAGTATCAGAGAGCTGTCGCCGAACGCTCGCGTCGTGAAGGCCTCGTGTATTGTCACGACGCCGCCATTCAAGATTCGTTTCCAAGGCTGAGCCGAGCGGATAGCGGTCTCGCTCGTGAGACGAAAATTCTCCAAGCGACGCAAGGCATACGTCTTGCCATCTTTGCCAGAGGTTGCTTTATAAATCCAACTTGCGTAGCCAAAAGGTGCATTGTTCTTCTGAGGTGTGGTGTCCAGGCAAAACAGGGAGTGATATTGCTCAATGACGGGTAGTGTCGTATTTGGCAGCACCTGGCGTGCAACTTCCGCCTTCTTCTGCAAGTCTTCGCGAATTACATCAGGAATGAAGAAGTCGTGCGCGGTGCGCTGGTATGCGAGCAGCCCGGTAGGCTGCGGTCCTACTGGCCAATATAGATGATATGCAGGCGACGTCTGGAAGGCATTGTGATTGGGGTAATAACCCGATCCGAGCCCACTCGAGTCTTGCGCATACGGGTTAATGGCTGCTGGTTGATGTTGCCCTGTTATGGCAGAAATGCTCGAGTTTGTAGTGTAAGGATCATAGCCAGAAAATGTTGTCGATGCACTGGAATCGACCTACGCAGGACCGATGCGCATTAGCTGGCGTGAACGAGAAGGTCTGACGGTATCTTGCGACAAGTATGGTGGGTCTGATAACTGGTATGAACTCTATACGCACCATTGGACCCCCAAACGACTCTGGTACGAATTCTTGGAATTCTGGCCCGTGCCAGTCGACGGCAGCAGGTTCTTTGTTGTGCAAGTTGGGCGTGCTTACGGCTGAGGCAATCAGTATGCAAAAGCTCAGTGTGAGCGGCAGGCACAGAAAACTCACTGGAGCGCTGCGACTTGGGTGTGAAGACGGCAGCATTGGCCGCTTTAGGCGATATTGCAGCGTTTCGAGCAGAAGGCGTCACTGAACCATTGGGAGCTGGTTGCAGCGGTGTGAAGGCAGGCGAGTCGACATTAAATCGTTTCTTTGCATTCTCACTCTGACTCGACTTGGAATGATCGTGGATGTAGGGACAGGCTGGAAGGGGGTCACCAATGCGGTCGGCAGGTGCAAAGACCGGCACTTACTGTTCTCGTACCGACAGTGCCCATATATGGTGACATTGCGGCAGAAGGTATTCTTGGCTTCTGCGAGTTGGAGTCAGAGACAGCCTCAGTGACTAAGAGAGAGTCGTACCGCGACCTTTTGGTCGAGGAGAAGCTACCCCTCGTCGCGAATCACCCGAAGGGCTGCCAAAGGTTGTTGCCATCAATCGCCCCTGGTGACTCGCCGAAGTTCTTAGGACAGTGTTCGATG